GCTACAATCAAAAGACACACTGGGTAGCTGAATGGGTAAGAAAACATGACCCATATATAAGCTGTCTACAAAGGACCCACCCCAGAACAAAACATGCACACAGACTGAAAGTGAAGGGAAGAAAAATAAATATTCCATGCAAGTGGAAACAAACAAACAAAAGCTAGGGTAGCAGTACTTACATCAGACAAAACAGACTTCAAAACAAAGGCTATAACAAGACAAAGAGGGACATTACATAATACTAAAGGGATCAATCCAACAAAATGATATAACCATTGGAAACATATATACACTCAACACATATATCTAAGGGATAGATGGACAGCAAATACGATCATAAATGGGGATTGTAACACCCCATTGACATCAATGGATAGATCTTCCAGACAAAAAGCCAACAAGGCAACAGAACATTTCATCCCAAAGTAGCAGAATATAAATTCTTTTCAAGTGCACATGGAAAATTCTCTAAAACAGATCACATGCTATGACACAAGACAAGCCTTAATAAATTCAAGAAGACTAAACTCATACAAGCATCTTTTCCAAACACAATGGTATGAAACTAGAAATTAACTGCAATTTAAAAACTCAGAAACACTCAAACACATGGAAGCTAAATAACATATTAAACAATGAATGGGTTAACCATGAGATCAAGCAAGAAATCAAAAATTACTGGAAGACCCAGCATCCCAAAATCTATGAAACACAGTGAAAGCAGTGTAAGAGGGAAGTGCATAGCCTTATAAACCTACCTCAAGAAGCAAGAAGAACATGAAATAAACAATCTAGCCTTCACCAAAAGAACCAGAGAAACAACAAAGAAAGCTGAAAGTAAGTAGAAGAAAGGAAATAATGAAGATTAGAATGGGAATAAATGAAATGGAGACAAAAACAAAACAAAATATCAATGAAACCAAGAGCTGGTTCTTCGAAGAAATAAACAAGATTGACAAATCTTTAACCAAAATCATCAAGAGAAAAAGAGAGAGAGGATCCAAATAAAATCAGAAATGAAAGAGAAGTAACAACTGACACCATATAAACACAAAGGATTGTAAGAAAATATTATAAACTACTATATGCCAGAATATCGGACAGCCTGGGTGAAATGAAACATTTTACTGAATCTAGAAACATTCACTCTTCCAAAACTGAACCAGGTAGAATCAGAAAATCTGAATAGGTCAGTTACAACTAATGAAATAGAAGCAGTAATCAAAAACTCCCAGCAAACAAAAGCCCTGGACTAGATGGCTTCATAGGCAAATTTTATCTAACATTCAAATAACTAACACTTGTCCTTCTCAAACTATTCACAAAAATTCAGGAAGAAGGAAGACTTCCAATCTCACTTTACACAGCCAGCATTATCCTAATTCCAAAACTAGATAAAGACACTACAAAGAACGAACATTCTAGGTCATCAATCCCTGATGAACCTAAATGCTAAAATCCTCAACAAAATATTAGCAAATGAGTAGATACAGAACAAATATTCCAAAAATAATGTGGAACCACAAAAGGTCCTGAATAGCCACAGCAATCTTGAGAAGAACAAAGTTGGAAGTATCACAATACTTAATATAAAACTATATTACTAGGCCATAGTAATCAAAGCAGTATGTTACTGGCATTAAGAACAGGCATACAGATCAATGGAACAGAATAGAGAGCCCAGAAATAAAAACAACTTTCACGGTCAATTAATACTTGATAAAGGTGGCAAAAACATACAATGGAATAAAGACAGTCTCTTCAATAAATGGTGTTGGGAAAATCGGACAGATACATACAAAAAAAGATGAACTAGACCACCAACTTACACCACACACAAGAATAAACTCAAAATGGATTGAAGACTTAAATGTAAATTGCAAAACCATAAAAATCCTAGAAAACACAGGCAGTCAAATCCCAGACATTTCTCATAGCAATATTTTTGCTGATATACCTCCTTGGGCAAGGGAAACAAAGGGAATAATACACAAATGGGACTACATCAAGCTAAAAAGTTTCTGCATAGCAAAAGAAACTATAGACAAAATGAAAAGGCAATTCACTGAATGGAAGAACATATTCACCAATGATATATCTGATAAGGAGTTAATTTCCAAAATATTTAAAATACATACAACTCACCACCCAGAAAACAATCCAGTCAAAAAATGGGCAAAGGCTCTCAACAGACACTTCTCCAAAGAGGACATACAGATGATCAAGACATGAAAAGATGCTCAACATCACTAATCAGAAAGATGCAAATTAAAACTATAATGAGATACCACCTCATACCTGCTAGAACAACTACCATCAATAAATCAAAAAACAGTAAGTTCTGGTAAAGATGCAGAAAAAAGGGAATGCTTTTGCCCTGTTTGTGAGAATGCAGACTGGTACAGTCACTGTGCAAAACAGTATGGAGTTTTCTCAAAAAACTAAAAATGGAACTGCCTTTTGAACCTGTAGTCCCACTTCTGAGAATATATTCTAAGAATCCTAAAACACCAATTCTAAAAAATATATACACCCCTACGTTCACAGCAGTGTTACAATAGCCAAGATCAGGAAAACAGCCCAAATGTCCATCAGTAGATAAGTGGGTAAAAAAGCTGTGGCACACTGAAACTATGGAATACTACTTGGCTGTAAAAAAGAAGGAAACCTTACCTTTTATGAAAGCATGGATGGACCTGGAGATTATTATACTAAGTGAATTAGACAGTTAGAGAAAGACAAGTACCGTATGATCTCACTTACATGTGGAATCTAATGAACAAAACTAACTGACAAAATAGAAATAGAGGTGTAGTTACATGGAACACACTGACAGCTGTCAGAGGGAAGGGATAAAAAAGAAAGAATCAAACAAAAAATAGATATATACACACATATAAAACACTAGACACAAACAACAGTATGGTAACAGCCAGAGGGAAAGTACGGGGCGGGTAAAAGAGGGCAAAGGAGGGATAAATGAGGACGGAAAGAAACTTTGCTTTGGTAATGGGTGCACAAAGCAATATGGAGATGATGTTTTGATGAGTTGTACACTTGAAACCTGTAGTTAACCAATGTCACCCTAATAAACAAGTACTATTTGTACCTTACTTTGAAACACATCATATTTAGTAGGTATCACAGTTAAACAGTTTTAATACATTCTTTTGGACCTCCTAATTCCCACCAATTTTTAAATTTAAAAAATTTAGTAAAATGTGTCTTATTGTAACAAGAATTTCCAATATTATTTATTTGCATTTTCATAATGAGAACTTTAAAATCACAATCTTTTTATGTCTTTAGCTTTTAAATTAATAACATCACATTTTTTTCTTTTTTCAAAGTGAAAATATGGCTATATAAATTTTAACCAAATTTCATTGGCACATATGAGAGATAGTTTAACCTACAGACACATGCCTTATAAAAAATTTCACTTTGAGTCCTAAATGGTATGGCTCAGTGAGTAAGCTTCATACTGCAAAACAAGCAGTTCGATCCCTGGTCAGGGCACATGCCTGGGTTGTGTCAAGGTCTACAGCTGGGGGTGCCTGTGAAAGGCAGCTAACTGATGGAGAGGTGTTTCTCTCACACTTTGGAGTTTCTCTCTCTTTCTCTCTCCCTTCCTCTCTCTCTAAAAATAAATAAATAAAATCTTAAAATTTTTTTTTAATTTACCCTGTGTAAAGAAAAAAATGCACTTTGTGGAGTTCTGGGATGCCAGAAAGATGTAGGCAGTTCAAGCACCAAGCCATCTAAAACTTCCAATCAGTAAAGACAAGCTATAAGAATTAAGGCACTATAGAAAGAGAAAAGCAATGTTTTTATATATAAGCTCCAAATTTAAAGTCATAAGAGCAGAATCTTTAAATTGAGAGCTGCTTTGATTTTAAATTGAGATACTTTACGTAAAAGCAGCTTTATGTAGCCTGAATAGGGCACCAATTTATTTAACCCTGGTTTTAATTACTTTCCTGACAAGATAACTAATTAACTATATTTCCAGCTTTTAAACACATGATATTTTTGACTTTTTAAAGATTTTTTATTATTATTCAATTACAGTTGTCCCAATTTTTCCCCCTTTGCCTCACTCCATGCGCCCACCCACCCACACAATCTATCCCCACACCATGTCCATGGGTCATCCATGCATGTTCTTTGTCTAGTCCCTTCCCCTTCTTTCCACCATTATCCCCTCCCTCCTCTCCTGTGGTCGCTATAAACACATATTTTTGAAGCGTCAAAGTTTTTACTCCCATTGGCAATACAACACAGTAATATGTTCATTTAAGAACATAAAGTTGTTTTTTTTAAATATTAGAAACCTACAATAAATCAAAACTTATGGACTATACTGAGTTACTGAACCATTCCAAATAAGGAATATTTTTCCAAATCCTCAAATGGGCCAAAGAAATAACACATGGACCAAAGAAAAAACAATCATATCTAAAAGAATAAGAAAAAGTTAATAAAATGACATATTTATTACTAGCATATAAAGAAAGTATTTGCTAAAGTGGTCAATGCCTATATCAGCTTTTATTACCTATATTAAAATCACTATTGCAACATTAATTTCAATAAATGAATTATATAACTAGAATTCAAGCATCTATAAAAAGCATGTCTCAAAATAAAATAATCTATATTATAAAATGTTTACTGTGTTAAATACGGTTACTTTATAATAATCATGTATTTTATATAACAGTATCAAACATTCTGAGAAACTAAAAAAAGGGCTTTTATCTAATTAAGGACCAAGCTATTCATACAGATGTCTAAGACCTTTGTTAATAGCCTGAAAAAAAGATATATCAGAAAAATACCTTTCGGTTTTCTAGGTCATTTATATTATATCATGTTAAGCTATTTTGTTATATTTATAAAAAAATACAGAACCATGTGAACTACAAAAAGCAAAGTACTAGTCAACAGTTTTAAGAAAAACATAAAATGTCAGTCATAACATTACTTATTCTTACCTCTGAACTATAATCATCGGCTGTGGTTGAAATTTCACTTTCCGGCTAAAACAAAAGTAAAAACCAATTACATTAAAGCCTTTCCTCATCTAAATACTGTACTTTATTAACCTATTACTTTTGATATTAATGATAAAAAAGTCATTAAAAACTGTAAAAATTATTTAGATCTTTAAATTTTTACTGATTAATAATTGCTAAATAACACATGTAAAATTTAACCTAGGCATTTTTCTATATATAAAAGTATCAAGAGGTATTTTCATACAAGGCTTTGCATTATTAAGAATCATTTGTTACACAAAAGCACCCATTAAGATATCAGCCCATTAATTCTTGTGTCTCTTTTAAATAAAAAAGTCCTAATATGTTAGTAAAAAAGTTCAATTTCTTCCAAAGGAAGAATCATCTAATCTTGATGCTAGAAAAGTAATAACAACTTAAAGAAAAAGTAGAAGCTTTGCTGTCATTAACACCTTTGCAGCCTACAAAGCACTTTTACAGACATTCTCATGTCTGCCACCCTTACATCCCTGGGATTTGGGTATGAAGGCGAATGGCTTTCCCAAGCTGCCCTCCGCTGAGAAGTACTGTGCTTGCTAGGGAGTCACGGAGGTCACCTGAATTTTCACTGTTTTCACTCTTCTTCCTCTCATGTAAGAATCTCATTTTACAAGTGAGAAAAAAGACCCAGATATTTTACCTCTTCGTTCAACAAAATCAAGCACCAAAATGGTGCTATTATATTATCCAAAATGGTGCTATTATATTATTTGAAAGGTCCAGATTTCAACAGAATTTCAATATATACAAATAAAAAAGAAAATATGGCCCATTCAAAAGAAAAATAGCAGCCAATAGAAAATGTCCCTAAGGAAACACAAATATTGGGCCATTATTGGGAGATATAAAAATAATGTCTCACCAAATAGAAACTATCAATAAAGAGAAAGAATGAATAAAAGAACCGAAAAGAAATTATGGTGTTTAAATAACTGAAATGAAAAATTCACTAGGAGGACTAATAGCACATCTAAGGATGAAGAATAAAGAATCAGAAAACTACAAAATAGTTCAATTGAAATGATCCAATCTGAGGAAAAGAAAGAAAAAAAATAAGAATGAAGAAAATGAACAGAGCATCAGAAATCTGCGTAATAATATCGAACATACAACATATGAACAATGGAAGACCCAAGAAAGAGAGGACAGACAGGGGAGGAAAGAATATTTGAAAACATAATGGCTGAAAACTTTCTAAATTAATAAAAACATTAATCTACACACCAAAGAAGCTCAAAGCAGGAAAAACTCAAAAAAAGATACATTCTTACAATGAATAACAAATCTCTGACACTCCTTACCTTTTGAATAAAGCTCAAATCCCAGTATGTCTAAAGCTTTTGGTTTCCACATAAATATACCAAGGTACAATCCAAGTTACAATAATCTGCCTTGTCTAACATTGTTCCTCCTAAGCATTCCATCATTCTCTACTCCCAGTCTTAGCTGGTGGTTCCACCATCCCATCCACCTTCCAAATAACTTTTTCCTCCTCTCTATATACTGGAAAATTACATTCACCAAGTAGAAGGAGAAAATGAGTATTTTTGAGAACCTTCTGTGGGCTAGCTGCAATCTCCTGCCCTTCACCATTACTACCATCCCACCTTCAGCACTTTTGATCAATTTAAAATTATACTACTTATGGTTTCCAAATCACACCACAATGTTTCATGTCTTTTCGAATGTATTCTCTTTGGCACAGAGACTGTGTCCCCTACTTCTTTACCTCTAGCTAAACAACCATATAAGGATGATCTGAGCATTCTCCCAAATCATGATATTCTAGGGTACCATGCAGGGGTGTCCACCTTTTGGCGTCTCTGTGCCACACTGGAAGAAGTTGTTGTCTTGGGCCACACATTAAATAAATTGAGACATGTAATCTCAAAAAAATCTCACAATGTTTTCAGTAAATTTACGATTTTATGCCAGACCACATTCACAGCCATCCTGGGCCACATGCAGCCCGTGGACTGCAGGTGGACCACCCTGACTGCAAGCACAGCTTTAAATGAAGGAACACGGTCTATCTTACATCTGCCCCCCACTCCACTAGATTGACTTTCCTAATGAAAAGAAACTGTCATACTTACCTCTGCATCCTTGGTGCTCAGTTCTTGGCGTATTACAGTTGCTCAATAAATGTTTATTGAATCAAGCACATGTACATTTGCACAGAATGCTAATGAATGTTGTCTTACAAAAACTTTCACTTATAATTTTAATGTTTGAAAATCTGGATGACTACTTACTTCAGCAGAGAAGACCTGGTCATGTTTGATTATTTCTCCACTGTGTAGAGTTCTCATTATTGTGGATTCAGGAGTCACAACTGATCCTACTCCCTGAGAACTATTCATGCACATATCATCACTGTGTGATTGCTCAATATTCAAAGAATGGTATGCTGACACATCATGTTTACTGCTTGAGGTATTCTTCTTTTTTTTCTTCTTAGAGGGATTCTGCCCATCACACTGAGCTTTCCTTTGTCGAAACTGGGCAAGCTATAGAGAGAGAGAGAGACGGAGGGAGGGAGAGGGAGAGAAAGAAATTGATTGAGATTGCCATTATTGTCAAAGATAATTTTTCTTTATCACCACTAAGAAAAAATAGCTTTGAAGTCTCTTTCTTTAAACCATTATTAAAACGATGACAAAAATAAAGGACAACTGTTAGTTTTAATACATAAATAACAAATTACAAAGAAATTAAGTATTTCTGAATGAATGCTTTTAAATATTGAAAAGAATGAAAAACATTACGCTTAAAGAAAAAAACTAGCCCAGAATTGCGTAGAATAAGGAAAAACAGGTGCTCTCATTCACTGTTTGTTGAGAGTGTAAACTCTGGATGTGATTATATAAAAATATAAAAGCTCTAAATAAATTTGCTTTGTGGAATTCCTGGGACTTCTACTAATTTATAACAAATGAAATTAGTCCATGCAAAAATGATTTAGCTACATAAATGATCACTGCAGCCTTGTTTATAATGAGGAAAATTAGAAATAATTTTATCACTTTTCCTCATCAAATGATAGTGCCTCTAATCCCTTACTCATGGGAACATTTGCCATGTCCTAGTGCCACTTCTATTTATCATTTCCTTAACACGTTTTAACTTTTGTGCACAAGTTCTTATTTTAAAAGAATATTTTCTACCCATGGTATTTATTAACAGTCAGCATCACTAGTGATTTATTTAACAAAGTAGTAAATCGGAATAAATACAATGACAAATAAAACTACATTATTAAAATTTTAGATAGTACTGCTGAGGGTTATGAAAGAAACAGGTAAGTATGAGAAGGGTGTAAAGGGTATACGGGCACTGAACAGACTTTTGCTTTGTCATTAGCAGATGAACTTCAAAAAAGCATCTAGAAAGGTAGTAACTTCCTTACAATACTATCTAGTATTACTTAATTGGGGTAATCACTTAATACTGGGTTAAAAATATCTGTCACCACCTAATATCAGAAGTAGGTATTACATACTTTGGGTAACACTGGATTAACTCAATTAAAATAATATTAATGCAAAGTATTATTAATAATAAAGATATGTATGATGTAGCAGTTATAATATTGCAAAGTATTTTTCTTAATAAAAGGAAAATTATGTGCATCTCTGTTAACAAAGACAAGGCAGGCTTCGGATTCACAGACTCCGTCAATTCATTCTAACCAGCTTGAATTTTAATAACATAACATACATAGGCACAGGTAAATTCTGAAAGAATATAACCATAATAACTTTGGTATTTGAGATTACAGGTCCTTCATTTTATGCTCATTTGAAATTTCTTTTTTTATGTAATAAGTTTTCTAAATTTTATATGAAACAACTATTAACCATGAATTCCTAAATTTAGTTTGAGCTCTTGATCATTCTTGAGCAGAAAAATGAAAACATGAGAACAGGTGTAAGCCCTTTGTACCTTAAAAAAGAGGAAATTTGCTACCAGTAAATGAATTATATAACCACTAATTAGACCAATTATAAAGTGGCCATTAAATTTCTTATAAAGCATTAAAGCCATCTAATAATGATGTTGATTTCTTTAACTATCAAAATATGTGGCAAACACCAGAACCTACAGGATAACACACAGCATATTTTATACTCATGTTGTCTGCTGTAGAAGAAAAGTATATAGTGTTAATAAGAAAATCTACTTCCTAAATCAGAACTCTCTAATTACTGACCTCGGAGAATATAAAAATACATTACATTAAAAATTTTTTCCCAGCCATTTAGCAACTTGCCAGTTATTCTACCTCATGTCTGCTTAAGAAACAGATGCAACACCAGTTGCCTCTATTTGTACATTATTAAGCAGCTGGAATGCATTTAAACTACTTTGAGGATAGCAGATTCATTCTTAAAAATAAACCAATTCAAACACCATTACATATTATCTGTAAATAGAATTGAGAGCCTAGGCACATATTTTTTAAAAGACCCCTCAGAGAGAATGCAAAACCAAGAAAAATATTAATGATGGCATTCTTGATGTTTAAGCTCAATTTCAAAAGCTTCTTAAAAGCCTATGTTATCTGTGTTAGAAAATATATTCAGACAAAGTATATTAGGACAAAAATGAATATTCTGTTTAAAATCTCAACTCTGTTAAGTTAAATACATAATTTATATTTAATATTTACTTATATGTACAAACACATAACAAAGGAAAAAACTAAAACTGCATTAAAAAAGTTTAATTAAAAAAATACTGTCTGAGACAAAAGAATCCATTACTAAATAAACCCAAGTGAAACAGTTCATCATAGATACGGAATAAAAAGTAGAATGGTTCTATTAGTGTTCAGAATGAATTACTTGTAAGGGCATAAAATGATCAAGACATTGTTTTAGACCAGTTACTGATTATATGAAGTAAATTTTTTTTTCAGAACAATTAACCAGAAGGTAAAGTTCACAAGGATAGGAAGTCTTGTTCACTGCAATATTTTTAAGGGCTAGAACAGTATTTGACAAATACATGTTGAGTGAAAAATGAATAATTTATCTTTTAAAGTCATCACTAAGTAATCATTTTAAAGTACTGTTCCACAGAATTTGAGAATTAAGATGATACAGGCATATCTAACTCTACTATTCAAAAAAGTCCCACGGTCTCAGAATTAAAATTATCAATTACATGAATTAAAACATAAAATAATCTCTCTCACCATAATCTTTCTTTCAGTAACCCCTAGCCCCCCAAAATAAGGCAATTAAATTCTCAAAAATAATGCCCACAATAGCTTTATAGTAAGAATTCTGTTTTATAAAGGAGAGGATGTGAGATTTTATCATAAATCTAATTTCTTATAGCGATCTAAACTATTTTTATTATAAACCTAAAAATGACAAGCTAACAGAAAAGCAAATATCAGAAATGCTACTCAATCAGCTAATCACTTGATACTGAAATGATACACTTTAAATTATTGGGAAAACATGAAGTCCAAAACATGCTGAAAATTCATACTATAGCCATCTGTGTTTGTCATTTGAAAGCCAATTATAAAAATGTTAACATATGTAGGCAGCACAGAAATAGTTTGAGATTTACTAGAAAGATATGTCCACATACACTTGTGCTTGAAAACTGATTCAGAGCTCAAGCAAGAAAGTATCTTACCCTGACTAGAATGTGAATAAACTAAATAAAAATGACTGATAATTTATTAAACTCAATATTTATAACTTTACAAATGATCATTCTCAATAAAACAAGGACTTTTTAAAATGCTGTATAGAACATGCCAAGTTCTTATGTCACTTCAAAAAAAAAAAACTGCTAATTGAAATATGCTGTTTCTTACTTGAGTGTTTACTATGTGCCAGGCACTGGGCTAGACATGAGCTAAAATACATGGTCCTAATAGTAGGATGTTTTAGTCTAGGCTAGCCTATTACTTCACTGAATTGTGTGAAACAAATAAGATAAAAGTTAGTGTACAATTTCATAAACTCAACAGTCCTCAATACATCTCTAAGAAGGTGGTATGGGATTCACTTGTCCTAGTACTCTCAAAATAGGCTTTCTGTAAGTGGTGTGGTTGTAGAGTTTTATATCTGTGAAGGAGATAACTTGGCATATGATAGGTAGTAAGTAATTCAATTATTTAGCAAATATTTATTGACAGTTACCTATCATGTGTCCAGCCAGTGCTAAGGGCAGGGCAGGTAGTGATGAATCATATACAAACTCTACTCCTATGAACTGTCAAATAGGAAGAGCAAATTAAACAAATACAGATAAATACAGAAATATATCATTTTATTGAAGAAAAGAGTATAGGTAGTAAAGAAAGCACTCAACAGAGAGACTTAATTTGGATGGGAATGTGGGGAGAGGTCAGGAAGTATTGAGAAAATAATAAGCGGCAAAATAGAACAAGAACATCTGACTCCAAACCCAGTATTCTTTCCATTATACCAATTTGCATGTCATGCATTCTGAGCTCTCTTTTCATTCATTTGTCATTATTCTTCAAATCCTAGAACACTAAGTTTAAAGGCACAAACAAATGAAATCACTAAGCAAATACTTTTTTGACAAGATTGAGGGAAAACACACATATAAAAACACATATAACACACACCACACACCCCCAAAAGAAAATATTATAAGGTATTTTGAAAATATTGTCTATTCTCTCCAGTTTTCAAAATTGCTAAGAGTAGAGCTACTTTCCGTGTTTTTGCTACAGAAAATTTAAGATCCTAATTAATTCTAATTATGGTGATTATTTGTACTTGTCAGTGCTGTCTTTAAACCTTTTTAATATTCCTCAATGAATGTTGCACAAGAATGCTCTACAAACTATTACAGCAAAGCTCCAGGGGCCTAACTATGGAAACAAAAAGATTACAACAGTTGACCCAAACATAATTTGTATTTTATGTAGAGTAAAGTAGGGCAACTGAAAGCAAAGACAAAAGCAACTTTTTGTGCTGTGAAGCATATTTTCTAATAATTCTCAGAGATACAAACTGTTGGAAAATAACAGTGCCAAACAGACCAGGAAAATCAGATATGGCTTTACATTACTGAGCCACTCATCCTATTTATATCCTATAATCTCATTGAATGCAGATTTTTTTCCTCAAAAGTTTTGGAAAATTATGCCTAAGAAGAAAACAGATTCTACAGACTCAGAAATCACCTTAATTTTACATATTTTAACATGTTTCATTGTCTGGAACATAGCAGACACAAATACTTGTTGAATGAAAATGCTTCAGAAAGAATATGTGTTACACATAATAGAATACTGGACTGCTGGGTCTACAGAGACTCTAATAAGCTAGCTATGTGACAAAGGACAGGCCACTTAACCTCTGCAGAACTGTTTCTTCAACTGTAAAATGAAGAGGGATTCAAGGATCTTTCCTCAAATGATTCAAGGATCTTTTAAGATTTTTTTCCAAATTTAAGGGCCTTTTTGGAGAAATTTTTTCAACTGTCCCCTTTCTATTCTCCTCTCCCT